ACGCCTATCGTCATCCTTGCTCTTTCATTTCGCCAGGCTCGTTTTTACTGTTTCCACTCTTCTTTTTGCCATTTTTTGCACGTTGCGTTTTATTTTTGTGTCTGGCAGCTGCTCGACAACAACAACAGCAATATTGATTGCAATTTCAGCCTGCAGTGGAACCGAGGGGGGTGCGCGGCGGAGAGGGATGGGGGAGTTGGGGTTCTCTTTCTCATTTGGCTGAATGGCACAGCACAAAAGCCTAAAAGCACACACACACACACACACTGAGAGACGGGAGGCAGACAGATAAACACTCACACACGCAAAAGCTTGGCTTATGAACCAACAGACGACATCATGCTGGCTAAAATGGGGAAGCAGTGCAGCAAGCAGTGGGGTAAGGGAAGCAGTGCACTGGGCGAAGGATTCGGGTTCCTGAGATAACAGCAATGGGAATGTGTTTATCACAAGTCAAAGGACTTCTCCTCAAATCTAAAGTAATTTTCGCAATAAGCTAGTCATAGTACATGCAGACCGAAAGTTTCATATCATATCATATACCTTAGATAACTTCTTTAACTTGACTCCACTGATATTTTGCCGTGTAGATTTGAGTTCTGCATAAGAGAGTGAGAAGCACACAGAGGAGTGGAGAGGGACGGAAACTGCTGAGCCAACGAAGCCTTTAAAGTTGGCAAAAAGCCTGCGGATGGAGCCACACACATGTGCGCCCATGCAGATGCATGTGGACACGGATGTGGGTGGCAAGTACAGGAGGAGGTTCCAGGGAAAACAGGCAAAAAGCAAGAGGCGGAGATGGAGCTGAAGCCGGAGCTGGAGTTGCCCTGGCATTGTCTGTTGGCAATGAAAATACGACAATAATGACGTCGAGGGAACTTTCCGCCGGAGAGTCATGCGCCGTTCGATAGTCAGGCGCCCATGGAAGGTGTGGGTGTGGAAGTGCGGAGTGCTGCAATGCACCAGTTACAGTGGATAAATGTGGAAACTCCTTGGTGGTATGTTTGAGGAATATGGAATTAAACAACGTTCAGATAAAGTGTGCTCTTCTGATTGTGATACACCATTAGCCAAGGTATTTCACCAATGTAAAATAGAAACTACCTATGAATTTTGTGGCCATTCGCTTTGCGACCACTGTGCACTGACTACCCTGTTGTGCATATGTTTATTTAAGTTTCAGTGTGCGTGTCGTTTTGGCAAAGATTTCATTAATAGCTTTTGCGGCTGTGGGGGCGGAGAACCCGGTGGAAAACGAGTAAGCAATGCATACTTGATTTGATATTCAACAAAAGGTGAGTAGTTCCCCGGTTCTCCCCTCTTCGTCTTCCCCTTTTTGCACCGCTCCTTTTCCCTAGGTTCCTTTTCACGACACACCCCTCCCTCCCACCATTCGCCATTTCTCCTACATTTCTCTTTCTGCCCACACATCGTTATGCGCTTTAATTTGCAAATGGTTTTGCAGATTTGGTTGCGGTTACCAGTTTTGTGGGGGAGTCTGCCACAGTGGTCACCCGTTGCGATGGAACTACTCAGCGTGTCCGAAACAAAGCTTTACAGAACAAAAAGTGTCTGATGTGGCGCGACTTTTAATGTTTCCTCAATTTGACTGCCCAAAAAAAAAGGGTCGTTAATTGCTGAGTCGCCCCCTTCCCTTCGACGCTCTTTTATGGTTCACATATGTAAATATAATACATTAATTACACTTTAAGAAAGTCTAGGCTATTTATTGCCACTTTAGAATAATAACATCAGGTTGTATACTCTGCTACTATGATCTTTCTAAGCTAATTCCATTCAGCGATCACCAAAAACATCATGATTTTTCCCCGTGCCTTCCGTAACCCCACATATGTATGCCCATAGCCATCGAGATTCAAGTCGCACCATTTCATTTCATGCTCGGCTGCCCCCGTCTTTTGTTTATTTATCATCGCCGGGCGAAAAGTGAAACCTAACCTCACACAGTGTACGCACATATATAGAGAAATATGTTCCGAAATCGGACAGAACCTATTCCAATATGCTCGGGGGGCAAACAACTGAAAACAACAGAAAAACAAACGTCATCGATATGGATGTGTAATGGGGTTCCGCGTTAATAAAAATTTTACAGTGCAGAAATTTATGCTTCAAGTCTAGACGACAGTTTTTGGAACGTGCTCAATTAGCACACATCTGCGGGGGGGTACGGAAACGCAGGGGAATGGGGGGGAGGTGGACTAGCGAGAAAAACAAAAACAGAATTTAAAATTAAATTTTCGCTCTGCCTCACGAGTATAATTCACTCATATTTACTAGGGAATACAGAACCCCCGGGCCCAAAGATAAACTATGGCTATATCGCCCATACTATATATGGCTATATCGCTACCTCCTTCTCGCTCCTTCAAATCTTCCGGTATCTAGCTGTCTCACTCTCGCCCGCATATTCAGAACAACAAAAGTCGTGCGAAAGTTGTTAATTTTCGCTTTAGTTTGGTTTTTCACGCCATATCAGCGCACTCGTTATAGAAGGGGGATTGGCATATTGTCTGCGGCTTTCAAAACAAATATATATAGAGAGAGTTGAAGGGGCCGACTGGGAAATACCCTGTCCGAGGAACATGAAACTATGCCTTCATATGTATTATACGTTAGTAAACAAAAAGCTACAATAAATAAGTTGTTATGATGATTCAATCCCAGAGATATAGTCATATGGAAATGCTATATGTATCCCAAAATAGAACATAAATGTATCTCAACGCCATATCCATAAGTTACATCTGAAATGGCCAGCTAGTCACACCCTTTAGACACCCGTTGCGTTTGGTATGCAAATTTAAGACGCTGACTTTGTTGCTACTTTGTTTTTATGGTCTGTAGCTGCAAATTGATGTAGTTTTTCTATTCCCGGCGTGCCTTTCGCAATTCACTTGCAGTTGAGAACGTTCGGAAAAGTATTGCGCCGTTATATCGGAGATGGGGTGAAAATGTAAGTAATCAGGGGGGAGGATGCTACGCCCACGTGAGAGTGTTGGGCCTACGAGTGGGAAATTATTGTGCAGACAGCAACAGAAAGACAGAGCGAGAGAACGAGAGCGAGCGAGTGAGATAGAGAGGCAAGCAGGAAGAGCTTTCTGCAAAAAAGCCGGGAAACTGGAAGAGGCACAAAAACAAACAGACTTCCGCCTCATCCATCCACCCACCGAAAATGAATACATAAAATGTATCTTAACCTTGACATTGGACGCCAAATACAAAAAACAACAAAAAAGAGGAGAAACACAAATATGCCGGCAGACAAAACAAGTTAAAAGAGCGTGGGAGAGAGAGGGGACGAGCCGAACACATTCATTCATTAAACAGATACGGCAAATTTAAAGGGAAAGGCAAGAACTTTTAACTTTCTTTATTTTTTTTTGTATTGTTATTTTTTTTTGCTTACCTTTTTGAATCAGCAAAGTTTGTTTATCATGGCAGCAACAAAAAAAATTAAATAAAATAAAAATGGACCGCGTGTGGCGCTATAAATAAACGCCAGTGCAAACAAAACAAGAAATGAAAAATGGAAATACAAAAAACGAGAGGCGATAAACAATTTTATGGACGTTTATTTTTGAATTAAACGCAAATCATCACAAAACGCTGATAAACGGAATGAAAAAGAATGCAGGCGGCAAGAAATTGCAGGAGCAAAACAAATGGAGCTCTACAATGATCACAACCGAGAAATGATCAAAACCGAAACTTGTATACCCTTAAATACCCATTAAATAAAATACGATCGGCGATCTCTAAAAAGCAGATGTTATCGTTTATCACTAAAATAATAATACCCCCTTTCAGGGTAGAAAAGAAACACGCAAAAAGACGCAAATTTCGTGGCCTTGAAAAGTGGGCAAAACAGAGAGAAAGATAGAGAGCGAAAACGAGAAGAATGAATGGAATTATGCCATAGAAGGCAAAACAAAGTTCTCAGCTTGGAAAGAGAGGGCAAGCTGGCGAGTAAAAGAGATGCATAGAGGGTGAGGGGTTGAGATTCTTGAAACCTGAAGATCGCGTTCAAAACAACAACATAAAAAACACAAAAAGCGATCTAATTCCTTTTCGTGTTGTTCTCTTATTCGCATTTGTTTTTTTTTTTTTTATCGCAATGAAATAAATAATATTATTCGCTGCTTCAGAAAACGGAAATATTAAAATTTGGGCACAAAATAAATAAGAGCAAGAACACATCTGGGAAACATACCATATGATAAATGTCCGTTGCTATATGGCAGCATATAAATTTCAATAATTTTTCATTGCTCATGATTTATGAGTAAAAGGAATCCAGAACTACAGAAGATGAAAAAGAAAGCCTTGACCCTAAGCAACAAACAAAAAGATTACAACATTTTATTTATCCCCTGAGATGACGAAGGCGCAATCATCGCCAACCTCCTTAAATAGAAAATTTTCGCAAATTTCTCAAATCAACAATCGCATTTTATTTAATATTTCTGCAAATATTGCCTGTATTTCGCAGCTGTTCAGCCGTCAAGGTTATATAATCTATGGAACCGGCAAACGAACGAAAAACGACGGGCAAACAAACGCCTCAATTGTTGATAACACTGTGCAACAAGATAAAGGAACCAGGGAGAATCAATCTGGTATCTTTTTCCATGTTTATTGATAACACCTAGAGTCACTGGCAGTTTTATCAAAGGAATAGTTGAACCCATTTGTAATTTCATTTAACGACTGCAGTGATTATGTTCTAAACATGATTGCCCCCTGTCGTTCAGTGTAATTGATAAAAGTTTTGTGAACAAATATTGAAACGCCACCACATGCTGGGGAATTTCGCCTGCCTTTCGCTTTGTTAAACAAGTTAACCAAGTTAACAAAGTATTTAAGACTAAGGAATCATCGCAGCCAGCTGCACAATAAGACTAGTGCTTCTTATCGGTTATTCTTATCATAAGCCTCAAGAGTAAGGCTTAAACTGGACTTGTGTATCTTGCACTTACCGCACTCGCTCGGAATAGAGTTCGACCTCCTTGTTCTTCTGCTGCTGCACCAGTTGCTGCTGCTCGTAGCTGGCCAATGGCTTGAAGTTGCTGATGTTGGCCAAAGCAGGCAGGTTGCTCTGCTGCTGCTGCTGCTGCTGTTGCTGCTGCTGCTGCTGCTGGGGAGCAATCAGCAGGTTCTTGGACAAGCCGAGGCCATTTTGCAGCAGGTTGCTGCCGAAAGCGGGGCCCAGAGGCTGGATGAGCAGCGACTGCTGCTGCTGCTGTTGCAGCAACTGCTGCACTGGCGACACGGATATCTCGCCACTGGACTGGGAGGCCGATGGCGAGGTGGATCCACTGCCGGCTCCACTGGAGGACAGGCTGCCGGCCCTGGCGCGCAGGTCCAGGCCGAGGACATTGTTCGGATTGAGGATGTTGCTCAATGTGGCCAGTGCACTGGGCTGCAGCAGGCCGGCGGAGGAGCCATTGCCGCCACTGCCATTGGAGGTGGTGGTGTTGCCGTTGTTGTGGGGCAAGCCCGATCCTATGACGCCCACATTCGGATTGGGCGTTAGTGCGGCGTAGCTGTTGCCGTTGTTGTTGCTCAAGGGGGTTTTGGCGTTGCCATTACCACCACCACCGCCTCCGTTGTTGTTGCGGTTCCTCTTCTTCTTGGCCTTCTTCTTGTCGTCGTCCTCGCTGAGGCTGCCATTGCCCAGACTGGCCCTTCCATTGCCCGACCCATTGAGGTATATGACGCCCTGGCTGCTCGGCGGCACCCAGTCGAGATCCTTGCGCAGCTGCCCCCTGCCACACTTGCAGCTGCATGCCTTCTGGACCAGCTCGTAGCCCTTCTTGGTCCACAGGTGCTGCAGGCGCTGCCTCTCCGACCAGGAGCGAGCCCGGCCGTTGGACTTCAGCGCCTGCAGGACACTCGCCTCCCACCACTCGAAGCACTCGCGGTGCATGTACTGGCCGGCGCTGCAGTTCTCGTTGTTGCACAGCACGCGGATGCAGTCCGCCAGGGAGAGCTCGTTCAGCGGTATCAGCGAGTCCAGTTTGCGGCAGTCTCCGCTGGGCAGGCAGCAGTGGACCACGCCCCCGACACCGCCCACGCCTACGCCAACGCCACCCGTTCCCTGCATGGGCGCCATTAGGACGCCTGATGAATTCGCGTTCTCTGCGTAGAACTGCAGCAGTTGGTGCTGCTGCGTCTGGTGCTGCTGCTGCTGCTGCTGCAACTGTTGCTGGTGATGCTGCTGCTGCTGCTGGGTGCTGTTGCCGCTGCTGCTGATGTTGCTGTTGCGACGCGGAGCCATAAATTTGTGTTTTCTTACGTATAAATATGCACTCTTTGCGGGGAGAAGATTTGGCTGGCTATCCTTGAGTATCCTCAATCTCTATTTCGAATCAGCATTTTGCCCACAATTATAAATTTCAAAATATTGCTTGTTGATATTTTCGCGATTTAATGGCGCGATATGTGGTCTATTTAAATGCTGCTGGCATATATTTATTTATTTTTGAACCGATTCCAGAATATTTCTCAACTAATGCGTTGGAAAATCCAGTGAGTTTTCGTGAATTTTGGTGGCTTTTTGTAAATTCTTCGAAATTTTAGCAGACAAAAGTCTGATTTTATTCAGTTTTACGGTTTTTTAGAAGTCTGATTTTATTCAGTTTTACGGTTTTTATATTCTTTATTTTCGGTATTTATTTGTTGTATTTTGTGTATAGTAAATGCTTGTTATTATGCAATTTAGTCTGGTTAGGTTCTAAACTTTTCGGTTAATTTTTCAATTGTTTTTAGTTGGTTTTTCCGAGTGGGGTTCTACCGAGTTGGTATTAATTTAAACTTGATGGGTAATTGCTTTCACTTATTGCTTAAAAATCGTACACCTCTTTGCTGTGTGTATCAAAAATACTTGGAAAAATTCCCGTCAATGCAGTCTGTTGTTTTTCGTAATTTTTCTGTTTTGTTGTACCTGAGCTGAGTTTATTGTTGTTGTAGAACGTTAAGTATCAAAAATTGTTTTTTATTGTTTATCTTCGCTCCGTTCCTGTCTCCCTCTCACACGATCGTTCGCTCTCGTTCACACACGCGGCGCCATGTTCGGCAAATTTTTCACATTTTGCTTCACTTTCTGCGTTTGTTTTTGCGCCTCTCTTTTGCCGCTTCTGGTTTTTTTTTGCCGGCAAACAGAAAGGAATGGAGAAGAGTGTAAATTTCCGATTGGTTTTTAAGTCGCAGGACCAAAATGTAAACTGTAGTGTTCCTGTTCGATTTTTTTCGATTCGGTTTGCAAGTTCTTCTGTTTTCTGTTCTTCGCTGTTGTTTTCCGTTTTTTCCCACCTACGAACGGCGCACGCAGAGAGAAGCCAAAAAACACAACCAACCAGATCGAAAGCGAAATTCAAACTGTTTTTAGTCTGTGTTTGCTCGCGTCGTTCGAACATCGCGCGTCGCCGTCGACTGCGGCAGAGCGCCGGCGACCGAGCAGCCGGCGTCGCTGCTTGGCATTGGCAGCGAAGTTGGAGTTTTCCTCCACTCCGCTTTTCCGCACTTCTTCTTCCCGTTTTTCGGGGTTGGTGGTTGGCTGATTTTCACTTTCCACCACCGCCGCCAACCGCTCGCTTTTCATTCGGCGGAAAACTCAACAGATTTTTGGCGCTAAAATGGGAATTGGTGTGGGAAAATTGCGGAAGGGGGCTAGAAAAGCGTCTAATTCTCTAGAAAATGCCTGTGTAGGCTAGAATCTGCTCAATTTTCCTAAATGAACAAGCCATTTTATATCCCAACTTTGGTTAGCATTTACTTTTGTGATTAAATTAGTAGTTTTTTTAAATTTAAATTCAAAATTTTTTCCATCAACCCAATTTTCTAAAAAATAATAAAATATTTCTGTAATTGGACAGCCAAAGTGAATTTAATATCATTTTGCGCATTTCTCTTTTATGTATAAAAACTAAATGCGTCTGATTTATATTAAGAAATATTAATATTGTTATATATATGTATTTTATGTATATGTATTTATGTATTTTATTTTCCATTGCTCAGCCAATTTCATTTGCAATTAGAAGCTTTCGATGATTCGCAAAAATTCACTTTCGTTGCGGCTCGAGCTAGTTCGAATCGAGTTCGAAGCCGGTCGTTTCCCCTCCAACATGTTCGACTGCACTTCCCATGCGAACGTCGAACGCGTTGGCTCTGTTCCACATGCATGGAACGTGCATTGGTGTTCGTGCTAGAAACCGGCAAATTTAACAACATGAGAACAGGGTTGCCGAGTCGCTGGAACTCGAGCTTGCAACGCACTTTTGCTTTCCTTGGCTAATCTTGTTGTTCCAGTGGAAGTGGAAATGTGGAAGAGTTGCCGGCAGTCGCACACTTCGATTGCTTTTTTCAAATATATGTATGTACATACGTTTTTATATAATCCCGTATTTGTTGGCACACACATTCGCACAAAAATACAATGCATGCGAATGCCGACAATAAAAGAGCCAACAGCAGAGACAAAAAGAGAGGATTCAAACATTAAACTAATAAGAACTAAAGATACCCTTCTATGGGAGACCACGAACATTTTAATAAGGAGAGTTTCAATTGAAACAAGTATGTGAGTACAATAGTAATAGTTGAATTTCAAGCCAACTTTTAATATTAGTTTTAATACTGCGAATTTCATAGCTAAATGTGTATGTACAATATGTACATATGTATGATTAATTATTTGAGCTTTGACTGTAGGGTATCAAAGTCGTTACCAAACCCATAAAAGCTTTCAAACGTAGAGCCTTTTTATTGTATCCTCGCTTTTTCGTATTGTCCTCTCTCCTCTCCCTACCTCCTTCTATTCTGACTCCTTTTCATATAAAAATTCCCGCTGCGCGTGTTGCAAAAAAAAGTATGCGAAAACGAACAAGAAGAAGCGGTAGAAACGGCAAAACAAGGGCACGTGTAGAATGAAAAGTGGTAAAAGGTTGTGTGCGCGAGGGGAGGGAAGGGATCTCGGAACCAGATGGGTTTTCTTATAGGACTCTCAGGATCCGGGGTTCTATTCTTTTGGGAACTGCGGTGCAAAGTCAAGGTCCAATTCCACTTCTTCTCGAGTCAAACTGCGCAGTTTCCATTTTTTCTCCCGATTTTGACCTGCCAGTAGAAGAAGAGAAGCAAGAAGGAGGGAGAGAAAAGAGGGTTCTGATATAATAATTAAGTCAGTCAGGTAGGCAGATCGGCAGCCATTGCGTAATAGGATCGTATGTGTATGTGTGTATGGGTTGTTTGTTGTTCTAGCTAAAGGATCGCTGGAACCTGAAGAGGAGGAGGTGGTGATGAAGGGACGGGAAGGGAAGAGAACAAAGGAGGGGCGAACTAGTTTGTTGTTGTCATCGCCGCTTTATAATTCTCAAGGATTTCGCTTTGTGTTCCCTTTCGACTCTGACCTAATTTTAATGACCAATGCATAACGAAAAAGTAATAATAATAAGTAAAGGAAGAGCAGGAAGGGCACACGGTGGCGTGTGTTCAAAGAGGAGAGGGCGACAAGAAGAGGAAGAGCGAAGAGCCGAGAAAGAGAGGAGGAGAGAGTCTGCAGCCCGGGGCAAAAGCTGAGCTCATAATTCTTCGGCGACACGCATCAAGTTTAATTTGCATAATTAATGGCAATGGCAGGGCTGCAACCCTGGGGGCCGAAAAAGGGTTGCCAGGTCGTAAAATTATGTTTTAAATTTATGAATCCTAACTTGCGCTTAGGTACATTAGATATACATATCTTAAGTCAACATTATCATTAAGTCTACATTAATCTGAATTCAAGCTTCGAATTTCTGCCTAGTTGGTTGATTCTGCTAAGTTACGATCTCTTACCCATTTTAATGGATAAACTTCTGCTTATTTATGGGTTGGTTCAAATATAAATATGTATGTACACATGTGTGTACATATGAGTGACGACTTTGTGTGCTGTTTGCAACTTTCTGCGTGTTTCTTGGCTTCCTGTTTGGCTTCTAACCATGGTGTGAAAGCGGGTTCTTCGAAGGAGGAACTTTGCGGTGGCGTAAGAGTATCTGCAAGATACTCGTTCGGATGGATAGACAAACCCAAAACGAATTCTCCCTACCTCCTCCCACGTTTTAGCCATAGCCATCCATTTATGCAGGCCTTTCCTTGTGTTTTTCGCCTTGCAATCGCTTTAAAAGTCCCGAGGGTGTTTTGGGCAGATGTGTTCGACACCCACCCGTACTCCTCCAACCATAAAACCCTCCTCTTCGCCCTTTGCTCCTCTGGCAGAGCAGCATTATTTGTAATTACTCATACTCCCGCGTTTATCCAATCGGAAGCAACTTTGAAACCCAAAATAGGGTTTGAAATTCAACTGGCATGGCAACCCGACTCAACCTCAAACCGTTCAACTTCGTACATAACGGTAAACATAATACATGCCAAATATATATGTATGTAGCCATAAAAAGAGACAAAACGGCGGAGAGAGTCGTGTTTTTCACTCGACAGAGGGTGTCGTAATTTCGTTTCGTTGCCAAAAATAACCCAAACTCCATTTTGTTGCCACTTGTCCGACGGCTGCAGATGATGGTGGATTCGGGTGGCAAGCAGTAGAATGGTCCAGAACTCCGGTTGACTCCCTTTTTCGCCCCTTTTTGTTGGCTGGGGGCTTCAATGTGGGTCTGATTCACGCAGCTCTGCGTTACATAAGCGAAATGAAGTCAGCATTCGCCCTATAGACATACATATTCCCACTTACCGAACGGATGTGCTACACTCCAATCGGATTGGAACCATTATGTCAACCACGGGAACTACATACAGTTGTAGTTGGAAAATATTTCAAGAGATTTGTTGATATTTCTGAAAGTTAATGGGTAAAGAAATTAACAAATCTCAATTTTGAGATAGTTTTAAGATTCCAAAAATGTACGTTCTATTCATAAGTTCCATTTCTATACTCATTTTTAGTTTTTATACACATTGTTTTTTAGAATATCGTTTAGATTGTTCTTAAACTACCAAAGTTAGCTCTTTAGGAATGTTCAATAATGTTCCAAACTTCTTTAGGAGATTTTATTGAATTGTACATATGTACATTTAGACATATATTTTTCAAATGCTCTTAGTAAAATTATCAGCATATATTTATTATATATTTGTATGATATCATTCATAAGGGCAGCTCCATTTGTTTTCGAGTTCCTTAATTTGGGGGTAGGGGTCTTCCACGTTCCCTCCCACTTTGTACTTTATCCTGAATCCTCCTTTTGTGAATCTTTCGCCGTGGCGCCAAGTGAAAGTGAGCGAGACGGCACATCCGAGCTGAAATTTCATTTGTCCTTTGTGGCAGCAACCACAAGGATAAAGGATAACGGTAGGGGGTGGCGAAAAGAGAAGAGCAGAGGCTAGGCCACGAAAGAGGGAGGAGTAGAGGCGGACGAAGAGGCGCACGCACTTTTCGGCTCAGTATTTTCGGGGGTATTTTTTATGCTGGTACTCACACATGCATACATGAGTAATAAAAATACAGGGTGCTCTGCAAGGAATATTCCATAAATTTCAGCACTGAATTCGGCAGTAGAATGGGAGACTCCGCCCACTCTAGACCAAAGAAGTGTTTCCCTCAGGTAGAAACACAGGTAAATTGGAAAATGAAGTCGGAAAAGTAAGTAATGAAAAGGAAAATGAAGCAAATTTAACAAATGGCGTTCGCAATCACTAAACTATTTCATTTTGCCATTTTTCACATGATAACAGGAAAAAATACATTAAATATTTTTTTTTATGTGATATACATATGTACATACATATGTATATGTACATATGTACATACATATATGCACATACTTTCAAAAACTGTTGTTGAAGAGGTGATGGTAACCACTTTTTTAGAGACAGCACTTAAAAGTTTTTAGTGTAGTTTTCATGTAAAAGCATGTTCATTATATTAGAGATAGGAAAATAATTACATTTCTGTGATTTAATGGAAATGCATTTTTTTGCATTTTGAAAGTACATTTTGAACGTTTGTGCACGTTCGAGCGTGTTTATCGAAGTACTCATGCCACTTTTCTCTTATTTAATTTTGGCAAATTTTTTGTTTGCCGGACTGACCGAAAACTCCCTGAACTTGTGATGTGACCAAGTTTGATAAGCCAAACACACAGAAACACATGCAAATACATATAATGCAATTTTCGCTAACACGCTGACCTTCAACATCAATTTGCGAAGAGAGCGCAAGAGAGCGGGGAAGGAGAGGCGAAGAAGCAGACCCCGGCAGCGAAAAAAAGAAAAGGAAGTGGCAAATTGACAGAGAGCTAAAAATATGCAATTCGCACACACACGCACACACACCCGCGTGCTGATCCACTAATACCAGTGCGAATCATGCGATTTATAAAAATTTCAGCATGAAAACGAAATTTGCAAAATGCCAAAATCAAACGCAGTCGCTGCCGAAAGTCGTAGTCGCCGTCGCCGTCGCAGTTCGAGTTGGAGTTGCAACAACCGCGAAGGAGCGTGGATGA